AGCCTCTCAGAAGACCGCTAGCTGCCTCAGCATGCGGTCCTCCGAGCTGTCTCTGCTTGCCTGTTTCTGTCTCTGTCAATAACTCCTAAGAGTACCTACTAACATGTGCAGCCGCATCCCGACGAGCCCGCGGGCACACCCTCATGGCCAGCGGCATCGATGACCGGGTGTTTGGGCTGCAGAAGCAGTTGCTGCTGGCTGCAGCAGCAGTTGCTGCGAGCAGCAGCAGCAGTTGCTGCTACTGCTGCTGCCGAGGCCCAACGGCGTCGGCCCCAGTTAACCCTGCGACAGCAGCTTTGAGTTTCTGTTCAGCAGACTCTCATACGCCACTCGGTGACGCTGCTGCTGCAATCATATTGAAGCAACTGGAGCTGCCTAGTCTGGCGAAGCAAAGTAACCGGCTAAGGCTGCAACAGTGTCTCTACAACTGCATCATTGCTTCGGAGGGAAATATAACTTCGGCTTCTTCTCCTTCTTTGCCTTCTCCTTCTTCGCCTGCGCCTCCTGGGCGGCCAACTTCTTCGCCAAGTCTTTGCTGCTCGCCTGGCTCCGCTTCGCTGCCGCTGCTGCCTTCAGACGAGCCGCAATCTTTGCGGGGTCTTCAGGAGCAGCCTGCAGCAGCAGCAACAGCAACAACAACAGCAGCAGCAAGCATGTGCATTTCTATACATTGTTTCCTGTCAGTGCAAAAAACAACTGAAGCCACAGCACAACGACAAGCGCTACTTACTGGGGTGTCTGCGTTGTCTTCACTTTCCGATTCACGCTGCTGCTGCTGCTGCTGCTGCTGCTGCTGCTGGGCCTTCTTCTTCTTCTTCTTCTCACTAGCACCACTTCCTGCCTTGGGCTGCTGCTGCTGTGGCTGCTGTTGCTGCTGCTGTTGCGGTGGCTGCGGCTGCGGCTTCGGCTCAACGGGCACAGACGGAGTTACTGCAGCAACAAAACAGAAGCAAATAGCCGCTCCTTTGCGGTCTCTCTAGCAGAGGCTCTCTGCGGGCCNACTGCAGCAACAAAACAGAAGCAAATAGCCGCTCCTTTGCGGTCTCTCTAGCAGAGGCTCTCTGCGGGCCGAACCAAGCTCTGCAAGACCTACAGCTGCACCCAAGTGAGTAGCAACAGTAGCAACGGCAGCAGCACCAGTGGCACTTCAGGCGAACAGGGATGCTGACTTACGGCCCGCTTCGTTCAGAGCCCGCTCGAGCTCCTCCATCTCTCGCTGCTTTCTCTCCTTCCTGCTGAGACCTTTTAAAGGGTCCGCCGCAGTAGCCCCGCCTACACCTGCAGCAGCAACAAGCAGCAATACAAAACAATTGCCCATGACATGGTGCTGCTGCTACTGCCGTTTCCGCTCTGCCTCGGTACTGCAACGCTTCCCTCCCTCTGAAACACCTCGACGTTTGCCTGCCTCAAACCGATGCCCCCATGGCTGTAGCAAGAGTAGCGAGCAGCAGACAGAAGCAGAAAAAACAAAAAAGCAGCAAGGCCCGCAAGCAGACAGATGAGCTAAAACACCGGAAGAAAGCAACAAAAAGAAGCCCAACATCTTCCCACCTTTGGCTTTTCGTCTGCCCTCTGACGGGGAGCGGGCTACCTTCTCTCTGCTGGTTGAGCTTTCCTCCTCCTCCTCGCCGCTACTGCTGCTGCTGCTGCTGCTGGCGGCGAAGTCGTCCCCTTGGGGATCTTCTGCATCACTGCCGAAGTCTTNCTGCTGCTGCTGCTGCTGCTGGCGGCGAAGTCGTCCCCTTGGGGATCTTCTGCATCACTGCCGAAGTCTTCTTCTGATGATGTTTCCACGTCTGAGTAGAACGCGTCCCTCGGGTGCTGTTGAGACCTGCGCCCCCCACTCCCTCCACCAGCAGCAGCAGCAGCTCGGTGAGGCGGCGGCACTGCTATCGGCCCGTCATCGTCTGAATCAACCTCTACGTCGGCCCAGCGGGCCCCTTGCAGCAGCGAGGCACCCCCTGGGGACAGCTGGGCCTTTACTGCTGCTGCAGCTGCTGCTGTGGCTGCTGCGGAAGCAGCAGCAGCAGATGCAGCTTCTGCAGCTTTCAACTCCCGACGCTCGCGTCGCCGTCTCTCCCTCTCCGCCTGCTTCTCCAGCCGACGCTGCAGGGCGTCTTCTTCCTTGAGCACCTCATACGGGTTTGCGAGCGCGACCTTATCACCAATGCCGCTCGCCATTATCCCAGTTTGCCGCTACTGCTACTGGTGCTACTGCTGCTGCTGTTGCCCTTCCTACTGCTGCGCTGCGGGAAAAGCACGTGTATGAAACTCCTTGGGTCAAGAGGGGGCTGCAGCAATTAGCAGGGAGGCAGACCCGCTGCCCGTCACTAAAGCTTGTGGGCGCTCGCCCTAATGAGGGTCCTGTGCAAGTTGAAAACAAAGCCCAATATACACGCCGCGATGGGGCGTCCGTCTGTACAGCTGGTGTTGCCAGCGGCACGGACCGCCAGCCAGCCGGAGGAGAAGGCAGCAGGCGGTTCAAAGGCGTATGGATGTGAGACAAACACTTCTGTGGTAGCGCAGTGACTACATGTCTTGTTATTCAATCGAGAAGATTCAGCACGCCGTGTGAACGGCCGAGGGGCCCCCAAAGTTGCTGCCCCGTTGACGGCTCCTGCACTTCCCCTTCCGTGGCTGCGTTTAAGAGGGAGACAGAATGAATACGAACAGGAAACTGAAAAAGAAAATGACGCAAAGACTACAGAGGCAGCGCGCGAAAGTCACACACTGCAACGAAGCAACTGCAGGAGCGCCCACTGCGGCAGCACAATGTACAACAACACCACAAGACCGCGCTGAGGAGTTGCCGTAAAAGGGGAGGCCAGAGCTCTAAAGAAAGCATAAAAGAACGCCGAGTTGCACTGAATCCATAGATAAGAGCAAAACGAAAGCTGTAGCTACACTTAAAGCCAGCTCAAGCGGCCGCTGCTGCGGCGGCGCTCTCGGGCGCTGTGGGGCACTGAGGCTTCCAGCTGCAACTGGAGTTCAGTCCGTCTGTTCTTTTGGCGTGTCCAACGTGTAGTTCAATATATTTGTTTTGTTTAATTGCATGAAAATAGAAACGTCTCCACAGATGAGCAAACTGCACATACACCGCCGGAGCCCGCCGTTACATGTGTGTTTTTTCGGGGGTCGCTGCCTCGTGTTGTTCAATACGGTAGGTATATATTTTTCCCTGGACAGTTAAAGCACTGCATATGAGGGACCGCCTTAGAGGCCCGTTCTAGCTGATAGAAGTCTCACAGGGAGGGGCNTTAAAGCACTGCATATGAGGGACCGCCTTAGAGGCCCGTTCTAGCTGATAGAAGTCTCACAGGGAGGGGCGACATTACTCCTGTAGCTGCAACACTTGCAGTGTAGCGGCGGTAGAAAAGAGCAAGAAAGCGTTTGCAGCTGACACACAATGCATGGATGCATGGAACAACTCCATATCTAGAGATAGCATGCCAAGCTGCACCATCATCCGTTGGATGGCTGAGGCATTCCCTACCTTAAGGAAAATATAACGGTTGCTCTCTGGCCTTAACCGAGGACAGAAGCGAGCTGCAACGGTTGCTCTCTGGCCTTAACCGAGGACAGAAGCGAGCTGCAATGTAGGTAAAGACTTAAAGTAAGGGTTTCTCAAAAGCAGCTGACCTACCCCCTCTCCTCAGGCATCTTGGGCGTTGAGCTCAGGGTCTGGTCGTTACGGGGAAGAAGCAGCCTGAAGCGGGGTTGAAGCGCACCTCGCTGTTGCTGGTGCTACAAGCCGGCCTCACGCTTGCAGAGAAGGAAGCTTCGACGAACCTTCTTTTGTTGCATGCTTTACCTCTGAATGTACTTGTAGAGCGTTTGCATTTGCCTACACGCAACCTACTAAGGGCAAGTGGAGGTTCCTGCGCTTACACTAGGCAGACTCCTTTTCAGAGAAGGGAGCCTCTGCTAGCAGAAGATGAGAGGCCAGACACCAGCAGTGCAGTTGATCTTATGCAGTTGCTAGATTTTCCCGTTCTCCGTTTTGGGGCTGTCGCGGAAATGCTATTTACCCATCACTGGATCCAGATGCAGAGAAACCAAAGTAGGTTGTGCAATGCTGCAGCCACGAACTCTAGAGGCTATGCCGTCCCTATACTGTTTGCTTTTCGCTGTAGAACTCTCACGGGCT